CTAAGTGTTTGGGTAAAGAACCATAAAAGTTTAGAAGGTTTAGAGATGAAAAACAGAGAAAGAAAAGTCGAAAGGCCTGTCCGTAGGGCCCTGGGGCGCCGTGCCTCCCATAGCCCCACAATACAATCTCTGTCCATAGGGCCTTGGAGTGCCGCGCCAGCTAAAGCGCCCCAACTTGGCCTCTGATGTTGGGTCCTAGCGCCCCATGCCTCTCAGAGTGTCAAGGACGCAGTGCATCCCATTCATTCCCCATCTTTTCGTACTAGTTACCAAGTGATGTACACATGTTTTATAGTTGATTCCAACACTCTAAGGTATATCTAAACATCATGAAATCATCCATAAACATGAGATCATGAACTTTGAATCTATAACTCAATTCAAGGAAAGTTAAGATCAAAGTCAAAGAAGTTAAGAGTTAAGTCTAGAATTTGAGAGGTAAGTCAAAGCAAAGTTTCAAGAGTCTTTATTAAACATTTAAGCTTCATTTTATGGCTCAAGTTTTAAAGTAAAGTAAATAATAAAGAGTTAAAGTTCTTCCTTCAAAGAAATATAAGGGAACTAAGTATTCCCTAAGAGTTGATTTAAGACTTATGTTTCAAGTTAAGTAAAGAGTAAAAAGTTGAGTTCATTTCTCAAAAGATATAACGAAACTAAGTATTCCCTAAGAATGTTTTTACATTTAAGATAAGAGGAAACTAAGATTTCCAAAAGAGTTTTGAGCAAGAAAAGGGAACCATGATTCCAAGAGAGCTTATGAAAGCTAAGTGTTGAGCAATTATCTCAATCCAAAGAAGGAGGTTGTTTATAAAAGCATAAGCTAAAATATATTTTGGGAGTAGTATTGAGCATCGATGTGGGGATGAGAGTTCATATTAACTCAAGTCTCCATGAAAATCATGTAGTCATTATGAGTGTTAACGGGTCATACTTCTTAGATAATCACGTAAGTTAAGCTAGTGGATCTACTAAGTTAAAAGTTTTGAGCGACGACAAAGTATAGGATAGTTCTGGCAGCATGGGCAAGATGTTGTATCACCACTTAGGCTCATAGTGATGGTTGTCGATTAGAGAATCTCTTACAAAATTATATTACTTCATATATAAGTAAAGTGAGTTTGTTATTGCATTTTTTTGAACGAACTAAGTGTTTACATTAGTTTAGTAGCTTTTATATGTATTGCATGTGTCTTATTGCTTTATATTAGTCAAGTTATTCATGAGTTGAGCAGAGCCAAGATAAGTATTTCTTCTTACTCTTTTTAAGCTTAAGTTTTGTTAGCATTCCAACTCGCATGCTCGTACATTCAATGTACTAATACTATTTGGTATAATGATGCAGACGCAGGTAACCTGGATCACATCATCTAGTGCCTCGTTGATCAAGCTGAGCACCCGGAGTCAGTATTGAGCCTCCTTGCATTCCGGAGGACTCTTTTACATGCTTTTTAGTATTTATTTTATAAGATATTGTGGGGTATGTCCCAATATCCATCATAGTACTGTAGAGGCTTCGTAGACAGATAGACAGTCAGACAGTTTAGTTTTTGAGTCTCTCGTTATTTGCATTATAGATATTCTATTGTGAGACTTAACTGCCATTTTAACCAAAACATTTATTTTAAGTTATCTTTGTGAGCATTTTTCTTGTTTTATATTGAGTTAAGTCTTCCGCTAAGTTAAATAAGTCAGGTCAAGGGTTCGCTCAAGGCCAACAAAGGTCATTGGGTGCCAGTCACGTCTAGGGTGTAGGCTCGTGGCGTGACATTTATAAGTTCGAATGAGGTATGGACCGTGAAATAGAGTTTTTCCATACCAAAACTAACATCTAAAACCAAAATTATGAAAGTTTGAAGTTTCTCTTATTTACAACTATACTAGTCTCAGGTAAAATGGTCTTAATGTTTTACTTTAAACATTAAATGATACAAAATTGGTAGCATTTGAAAGAAAATTCATTGACATACAATTTTCATGTGTCATGACTCACTTAATTCATTACGTATTAAAAGATATGGTAGTATACATTGTTTGCCTTCAAGAGAGACATACAATGATTGCATGTAGTTTTTTGACCAAATTTTTTGTGGGAGTTTGTGATGATTTAATAAATTATGTGTGTTAGTTCGACTGGGTAATTATATGTATTTATAAGTTCAAATGAGGTATGTATTGTGAAATAGAGTTTTTCTATACCCGAAACTAACGTCTAAAACCAAAATTATGAACGCTCAAAATTTCTCTTATTTACAACTACACTAGTCTCTGGTAAAATGCTTATAGTTCTTTACTTTAAACAATAAATGATACAAAATTTGTGGCATTTGAAAGAAAACTCACTGACTTACAATTTTTATGTGTCACGGCTCACCTAATTTATTACGTACTAAAAGATATGGTAATATACATTGTTTTCCTTCAAGAGAAACACATTGATTGCATGTACATTTTAGACCAAACTTTTTTTTGGGTGTTTGTGATGATTTAATAAATTATGTTTGTTAGTTCGAATGAGTAATTATAGATTTTTATAAATTCAAATGAGGATGGATTGTGAAATAGTTTATCAATACCCGAAACTAATATCTGAAGCCAAAATTATAAACGTTCAAAGTTTCTCATATTTATAACTACACTTTATACATTGGTAAAATGGTCATAATGCGTTAATGCCTTACTTTAAACATTAAATCATACAAAATTAGTGGCATTTGAAAGAAAACTAGTGTCGAGAGAGTGAGACTTTTGATTAGAATACTGCAAGTTGTGATGTAAATCATTTTTTGAACTACCATTGGCACTATAAAGAGAGATTCTTTTAGGTTGAGAGGAAGGGGATACAATTATACCCCTTTCGTTTGTTGTGGCTCCCAACTGGTAAATACTAGCCATGAAGTGTTTTTGGTCCTATTCAGTATCATTCTCATTACAACAACAACGATGCCTCAATACAAACATGTTAGGGCTGGCTATATTGAACTTCACTGGCAAGTTAAATTTTGATGCAATTTTCTTGAATTTTGGATGATCATTGTTTGATGTTTCATAATTGTGGGGCAAAAAATGTCTTTCAATAATAATAAAAAGAAAAAAAAAATCAATTGTTATTTTTACGTGGCTATGATGTAGGTTTGATGTGCCACTAAGGTGGCGCTGGCGTGACACACGTGTAATTCAATTCCTCCCATCGTGAGTTTAGTATTTTAGTGTTCAAGTAAGATTAAATTCACTTGAAAGTTGTTAAAGAGGTATTTATTCATTGAGATGGTAAAGTAAATTTTATTATATAATTTGACATCTATGTGCAATATTACTTCTGGAGACTTTTGGAGACTTTGATGTAATAGACTATTACTTCTGTAATTGATTTTTTTTAAAAAAAAAGAGTCTTTAATTATTATAGCTCACTTTTAAGGCTATTTAACTTCCCTGTTAAATTAGATTAGAAAAAGTACAAAACAAAGAGTGTCAATTTTGCCTCTTTGATCTTTATGACTCTGATCTAGGGGTGTCAAAAATGAACTCAAAGGTAACCTGTCCAATTCGATCAGAATTTTAAGTTAAAGCTCAAGATAATTTGAATTTGGTTCCATCTCAATTTATTCAAGTCTAACCCATTTAAGAAAATCCTCAATTGAGCCCAATCAATCACCAATTTCAATCCGTTTTAAAACTCTTTACTAGAATATGTTTTTATATTAAATGTATGAATTATTTTCTATTTAACAACTTTTAGGATTTATCTATTCATTTATTAATTTTTTTAAAAGAAATATTGAGCTGAAATTCAAATAGTGATTATAAAAGTTAAAATTGAGATTAATCGAGTCAAATTGGGTGGATCAAGCCGTTTTTTAGCCATTCGAACCTAATCCATTTGAACCCAAAGTAAACTTGAGCGGGTCAAGACCCAACCCAATTCTATTTCAATTCATTTTAGTATCTCTAATTTCAAACCAACTGCCCAATTGACACCTATATTCTCAAGTCTCATCTATTTAATTTTTCACTCTCAATTATTTATTCCTAATTTCATCCCCATTGTTGGATCAATTGCTCTCCCAGGTATGCTTTTCTACTTCCCCTCTTTCTAATTTAATGGTTATTTGCATAGTTAGTATCAATTTGTTGCTTGAAATCAATTAGTAGGGTTGTTATGTGTTTTTACCTAAAATTAATGTGTTTTCGAGTATAATATCGTTAAAAACGCACTCAAGAGTGTAGTTTAGTGGTCAATAAACGTCTCAGTTTTAAATTCTACTAAAGAAAAAAAAACCCTAAGTGATTCTTGACGAAGGCTTATATACAAATAGTCTTAAGATTTCTGAATAATTAGTGGAACTAGTTGAATTCGCGAAAGTTTGATTTAGAGACCTTGGTTATCAAAAAAAATGTCTTTGGAAACTTTCTCCTTTAGTATGACCAGGAAATGTTCCAAACATACTTGATATCACCTGTATATATCTTTTTTTTTTTTTTTTTATTGTGCCTTATCTTTCACTATGTGAGAATAGATTCCAAGAGATTGTAGGTGTTTGAGACACACTCGTTCTCGTTCATAATTTTAGATTGTTCCACTATTAAAAAAGTGCAAATTACATAGAGATATTATTTGGAAAAATTGTCGCAAGTAATACTTACAAATTTTCTTGCAAGAATCTTAAATTCCTCAATATTAAATAAAACGCATATCACCAACAAAATTCACACGTAAAATTGGTGTCATTTGCACAAAATGAGTTCCTTCGATATTACCTAGGAAAGCATATCCATAGGAATAATATCTCTAGGTAAATCCCTAGGTATCCTTTTTAATTTGTAGGAAAATTTTAGATTGTTTAAAAAATTATTTTTGGGGATTCAATTATAATGATTAGACCAATTATCTTTTAAATGGTTGAATTCTTTTACACTTACTTATAATTATTAGAATTATAACCAATTAAAAATTCACTTAAAGTTTTAGAAATTGGAAAATAATCATAAGACCAATTAAAAATTCATTTTGCTTCACTCTAATACACTAAACTAGAAGCTTCTCTCTAAAACTCACATGCAGTGGATCGGAAAAAGTTCCACTGCTGTTTTCATCTCCAAAGCTAAGGCGAAAATATTAGAATTTTTCATCTAAAAGCTCCCAAGCTAACTTCATGCTTCTCTCCAAGCGATTTTTTTCGAAGTAGAGTACTACGGATCCAAAAGATTTCATTTCAATCTACCAAAATCAAGGTTAATCTACCAGATCTTTGCTTAGATAACTTGTTCAATGATTATTGTGGTTTTAAGTTTAGCTCATTTTTTCTTTTTTGAAGAGGATGAGTGTATGTCCTTATTATGTTTCTTCTCTATGGCTTGTTGAAGTTAAATTTTCTACAAGTGATGTTTGTTCTAAAATCGAGGCTAATCTTCAAATTTCAAGCTCTATGAGTTTAATCTGCAAATTTCAAGCTCTGTGTTTAGGTTAATTGGGTAAAACATTTTTTGCAAATCAAATCTCTGCTTAGATAACTTGGTCGATGATCATTGCGGTTTTAAGTTTAGTTCATTTTTTCTTTTTTCATTAGTTATATTTCTTCTCAGGTGCTTTTCATGTTGTTAGCCTTTTTGTTTATGATGGTTGTGTTTGGATCAACTTTGCACACCCACACCCATATATATATATATATATATATATATATATATATATATATATATTTAGCGATTGGTGGGTAAACCTGGCACCAATGCTGGAGAAGATGAGTGTATGTCCTTATTATGTTTCTTCTCTCTAGCTTGTTGAAGTTAAATTTTCTGCAAGTGATGTTTGTTCTAACTTCTAAAATTCCTTCCTTGTACATCCGTCTATGATGGATGCAAATATAGAAACTTGACAACAAATAGACAAGGGAATCGATGCATTACACCTATGTTTACTAGGTTTTGGCATTGAGTTTGTGTGAATAATGAGAAATGATTGGAGCTCTTTGAAATTTTGAGAAGTACCGGGAAGAATCAAACAAGAAAAAAGAAACTTCGTTGGGAAGAAAATATTGAATGTTGTAGTATTAGGGGCAAATTTAATGTGTGGAGTAAGACAAATGCGGGAAAGAGAAAATCAAAGCATAGAAGAATTTTGCTGATGATAACAGAAAGTGATGGGAGCTCTTTGAAGCTTTGGGAAGTATCCAGGGAAATTTAGTTTGTCGAGTAAGAAGAATGCGGAAAAGAGAGAGAAAGAACAAACAAGAAACTTGCCGATGATAAAGGAAAGTAATAGGAGCTCTTTAAGCCTTGGGAAGTATACAGGACAATTTAACACATGGATTAATACAAATATGGATAGGATAGTGAAAGAGTTCCGATATCGTTTTTAATCTCGAAAGAACACACATCATACGTATAAACTTTCCTTGAATTGAGAATGTTTTCAGGTAGATTAGCTGTTAAACTATAACCAAGAAATGGAATTGCCCTGTCGAAGCATTTATTGCCATATGGGAAAGGGTCAATGGAAAGGGAAGACTTGGCGCCAAGCACTAGCTTGACAACATTCCACAAATACTCGAGAAGATGGTGGCATTGATGGCCAACAATGGACCTAGTGCCATGCCACACAATGACAAGTGTGCTACGGTGGGAAGACAAATTTGAGTTATTCCAATGCAAATGATCATTGCTTTTCACAAGGGGCTTACATAACTTTATTTGAACAAAGATCCAAATATTTTTTTGAGGTGCTCACCGCTTAAGGTAGTTGAGTGTGAGTTTTTGAAAGTTGACCTTTTCTGGCTTATATGATTTCACCTTACATTCACTATCCGAAAGTTCAGTAATTCAACTTATGGACTCTATGAACCTCTGTGCTTGTCATTTTCATAAACGGTCAATTAAAAGGGACGTCTTTCAAAATTCCTTCTGGTATATAACCAATTATTTGCTTGCACCAAATGCATGTGTTTATATGTTGCGGAAGGTGAAGCTTCAGATAAGTATACTTGGTCATGTCATTTAGTAGTAGTTATTGAAGTATTCTGTCTTGTTCAATGTTGTTCTCCTTTGTAATCTAGATTATTCTTTGCTTGTACATCCATATCTATGTGATTTTTAGATACTAAAGAACAAATCAGGTATGTATGTAGGTAGGTAGGTAGGTATATTTCTATGTATATATGTATGTAGGTAGGTGGTTAGGTAACCTATATTTGACAAGTATCAATTCGATATTTAAAATCTTAGCAAGAATCTAGAGTAATTATAAATTTGTAATGCGTGGAGTAAAAGGAATGCCAAAAAGAGAGACAATTTGCAATAATAATAATAATAATGTAACACAAAAGGCAATGTTTGCGACAAATATAACTTCCATAGAAGTTGTGGACGTGTTTCAGGTAGATCAAGTGTTTAACTATTGTCAAGCAAGTGGAATTACAATATAGAAACATTTGAAAAGAAGAGGAAAAACATCTTCCTGCTGCCAATTGGCTTGATAACGATGCACAAATGCATGTCTGAGAAAATGCTAGTTTTGACGGTAACCTGCTATATGATATAGTGGGAAGACAAGTTTGTGTTACTTCAATTCTAAAGACAATTGCTTTAAGAAGGGAGTTAGCGTAGAATTATTTGGGCAATGATGATAGAAGTTTGCGTCTTGAGTAGTGAGTTTGTGAAGGTCGAGGTTTGCTGGCTTTTATGACTGTCTTAGTCCACATTAATTAATCTAAAGCTTGCCCGTTTCGCTCATAAGTTCACCATTCAGTATGAGCTGATATTTGATTATATGGTATAATCAGGATCAAAGGGGGCCATGCTAAAGTCTTGAGCTATAATTTGAATAGGTATATGAAGAACTCAATGTGTGAATTGCCTCATCTCGGGGTTTGGTATAGTGGTCGGAGCACATCATGTTATGAATTGAGTGCACGATTCGAGTTTGAATCCTACCACAAAAAAGTCCTGTATTCAAAAGAGAAGGGATCCTAGGAGTCTCTAACTATGTGTCATTGAACCTCGCAGATTTCTCAGTTATTAAAAAAAAAACGAACAGAATATATGGACATCAATTTTTCATTGAAGCTGTGAACATATATTTTATTGTTAGGTCAAGGGTAAAGCTGATAGACGAGAGTGGAGGAAGTCACTCAGCCAAATGATATGACCTGTTTTTTTCTTATACTATTTTATAGGTATAGCATTATTAAGTATCATGTTTCATCATTAGTTGGGCGGATGTACGCCATAAGTTATGGGTTCGGCAGTATCCAGTAGCTTTGTTTCAAACTCTATATATTTGTGTCAAAACATTCACGTAATAATTAAAATCTCATGGTCCCATTTATTGTCATGTATTAGAATTCAGAACCAATAAACTAAACATCTTTATTTCGACTTTGACCTAGATGTCTTAGTTTCTCTGTGGTCTAAGTTTTACTGATGTATTATCATAGTTCTTTTTAATGTGATCTTCTCATAAACCTTACACTCATCTTGAGATATAAAAATATAAATTCGTCTATACATTGAAATTATATCATATTGCCTTTAAATTTCTAGGTAAGGTGATAAATAGTACTTCTCTAATATCATTATTGGAAAGAAAGAGCTTAGGAGTCATTGTTATTTTCCATTCATAATGTTATAGCCCAAATATTTATGTTCATTAACTGTTATTTTCCATTCTGCAGATTACCGCCCACAGAAAAAATCTAGTATTGACTAAAGATTAGCGCTGAAAGTTGTTTTCTTCACAAAATCTTTCTATCTGATTAAATATTAGATTTTCTAAACTGGTTTGACTTAAGACTAACATGTTAACGCATTAAATTCTTTGACCTATTTTTTTCCTTTTATTTTCTTTGTTGATCTATATATTTCTCAGTTCATTGACGAACAACTTTGCATCTAACTTCCAGTTCTAGTTTGCATCTTCTCATGGGTCGCAATAAGATTGTGATGAAGAAAATTGAGGATTCAACATCCCGTAAACAGTTCTATTCAAATCGCAAGGATAGCATTGTGAAGAAGTCAAATGAGCTGGCGGTTGTATGTGGTACAGATGTGGGGTTGTTGATGTTTTCTCCATCTGGTCAGCTGACTACCTATTCTAGCAAAGAAAGGTTAATGAAATTTCTAGAATGATCTTCTTTGATTGAACATTTTACGTTTCCTTTATGATACAAAATGTGATATGATTTCTTTTGATTGCTTAGTATTGAGGACATCATGATCGAAGCTATGAACAAGTCTGTGAATCCGCGGTATGTTTATAATTTCAATATGCCAAATCCATGAACTAGACTATGCCAATTCCATTTAACTGACTATCTCAAATGCTTTTTTGTCGTCCCAATTGACATGATTGTTGAAGACCCATACCAAATCTAAATGAACAGGTATTAATCAAGTTTTATACATCTTTTACTGATCAACAGCCTCTACCGGCAAGTCCTTGGAGTTCCGTCGGACCTTAACATGAGGTTTATTTTGCAGCTTTTGATGCAGAGTCTCAAACAGTCAAAATCTGAAGGCCAAATGGTTGGAAAAATAGCTATGTATGACACTCTCCTTTGGGACTCTGTTTATGTGTATTAGTCTATTAGTTCGTCCGAGCGGATTCATGACTTCTCTCTTTCTTTACTCTTTTTTTTTTTTTGGTTGGTATTTTCTACATTATTGAATTATTTTTGTCATTTTTTGCTGGGTATATTACGATGCTGATGATTGATCAACGTGCTTTAGTGCTGAGGTAAGATCTGATGCTTCCACGCACATTAGTGTATACATAGGGTGATCTTACACCAGTAGTTATAAGCTTATATTTTTTATTACTGAAACTCGTAAATTGATATATTTTTCATGTATTTCCATATTAGGCTCATGAGAAGAAGCTTAATGAGCTCAAAGAAACACTAAGGGAGGCACAACAGAAAATAAGGTTCTTGTCTTTCTTTTTTTGTCGTGCATCTCTTTTTTGATATTCTATTTCTAAAAAAGGAATAATATTTTTCTTCCTTGGATGGGGGCAGGTATTGCAATCCGCAAGTGGAGAATATCAGCTCAGTCCAAGAAGCTGAAGCATATGAGCAGTTCCTTAGGAGTAATATGGAACAGATTCAACAATCAAAAGTGAGCATATCTCAAGGCTAATGCAATTTTTTACTTCTATTTCAATAATAATAAAAAAATAGTAGCAGTTGGTTAGTTGAATTAGGACCAGCATGATCATGCTTTGTACATTTCTTATCAGGCAAAACTCTTAGGTGTCCAAGGATTAGTCCATAGAAATGAATATCCTGCGGTAAGCCATTTTTTATTGTTTTCATATTTGGAAGGATGTTTAACTGATTTACCGGCATCCAGTATGGAAAGTAACTGTTAGCATTATTATTTATAGGTCAACACAGAGGATACGGCTGCTGCAGGTAAAAAATGTTCATATTTAAATGCTTACTGGTAACTCTTTTGAGTGATCTATATATGTTCTATTTACCTAAAGTTGTCTATCTCTGAATAAGAAGAAAACGACATTACTATATCTTCAGATTGCAAAACATGAAATGATTGAAAGAATGTTCTTCTCTCGCTCCCAAAAGTTAATGAAAGTCCCAAGAGGTCTCCACTCATCATGAGGTTCAATAGTGTTCCGCTCACCCTCCAGCATGACTCAGACCCTCAAAATACCGGTTTAGGAGGTCGTTTGACCATCTAATTTGCAGTGATAAAATTTTAGTACACATATTAGTGGTGTACCGTGTATATAAGTAAAATGAAACATATCTTGGACACCCTTTTAAATAACGAGTTGTGCTATTTCTGGACACCTTTTATAATAATTCACATATCTACACTTAATACTTCAGCAAGTTTTGGTAAACTAGATGTCCAAATGGTATATATATTAGTATATATATACAATAACATCTATACATCAGTCTCAAACAAGTTGATATCGGAATAAGTACTTCATTTAGACTCATTTGATTATACCATCACCGTACTAATAAGTGAACTAAATCTATAGCAACTTTTTATTTTTATTTTCAAACATTTGCGTGTAATCTGCTGAATCTTGCTTGTCTGGATTTGTAGGAACCAGTAGTGGATGGATGTTTTGAGGAATCAGGCCGGATCGCGGTGGAGAAGTAGCTGCGGGTGTCCAACAGCTGCAGCAGAAATATAATTATGTTATATTAAGAACTTAGTAGAATAAATAACTTGCACCAATCAAGCATGCAAAAGTATGAATAATGTTGCATCTGACTATTGTGAATTCAACTTTTAGAATATGGCATCAAAACATAGGTATTGTGTTTTGAAATAGAAAACAGTTTGGTTTTTGTTTTGGTAACTTTTGCATCCTCCTAGTTCATAATGTTTTGTTTATTTTCTGAATCTTTGAATTAGAAACTAGACAAAAGAGATCCGAAAAAAAAAAACCTTCAAATTCATTTTGTAAGTGGTCAATAATCTAACTCCTCGACTTAAAAGTAACTCTACAAAAATTGACATGTTAATTGTTTGAGGAGCAGAAGTTTTCTTTCAGATCCTTAGAACTTCTCAAAGTAATTTGGCTATAAAAATACATGTCCAGAAATCCAGAACGTAGAAGAAACTGTGGATACCAATTTCGATAAGATAATATATTTTCAGAAGACCCTATATAAATATATGATTGCATTAATATCATAAATTAATAATTCTTTAAAAGTACAAATATATCTAAGACAAATTTAGTGAAATATGATTGTATTGTATTTTGATTTTTCTTAAAATATAAATCTAGTTGAAGTTCATCTATAACTTTTCTTATTACATACAAGAGTATAGGTGTTGTCCTTTCGAACTGTACCATAAAATTGTAAAGTTTCCTAGATGCGATAATGTTTCTTATGCATAACTGGTTTCAAAAGTATAGTATCATCTTCAACTTCATCATCAACATTTCTTTTTCCGATGGTATCCACAATTTCTTTTACGTTCTGGATTTTTGGACGTGTATCACTTTCACTCGGATAATCCAACGACTTATCCATTTTATTTGGATAACCAAGATCATTAATCATGACCTCAAGTTCATGAATGGCGTTTTCATAAGTAGGTTCATTCAAATTATCTAAGATTGTATCCTCGAACAAATTTTACAATGTCGAAAATAATTTGTTATTGTCTTTTGCTGAACATTTGTTATCCAAACAGGAATTGTAAAATTAAAAGCACCCAAAATATTGATATTTACTTGATCAGTTTGTCCACTTCATTACTATAAAATTTGTTCGATATTCATTGTACTTTATATATAATTTTTATATGTGAAAATCAATAAATATGATAGTAAGATAAAATTATTTGGATATAATCAAAATTAACCTTTATCAAATCTCAAATATTTTTAATTAATAAATATTAATTTATCGATTAAATAATATCTATATAAAATAATAAAATTTCATGTTCACATTTATATTAATGTAGAGAGGTTTATAGAGTTTGTAATATGACATAGCCTCTGATATGAAGCCAGAGGCAAAATTTCATGTGAAACCTAAATATCCATAGCCCTCCGATCTGAAGCCTCTGATATCCTTCCATGGTAGTCTCTCTATCCCTCAGATCATGTTTCCATCGAAGCTCCTCTTGTTGTTGAGTATAAAAAAATTTAAGGTTTTGATTTCTCTGTCCCTGTTTTTTTAGGGTCTAATGTAATCCGAAGGCATAACTCAACTAGTATGTGGATGGACAGTACATTGCCTCCGGTCTATTTGATGGTCCGTTACTCAAACACTCCGATTGTTTCAATCGGGTTGATTTGATTATCATTTTCATTCAGTTTTTGAAGTTTTTATCAAATGTGACATTGAGTTCTGCTTGGTTGAACGTTTTGGCAGTTATAATTCTCCTACCATTAAGTTCAATTTTAAGGTAATCTTCATTGATTTTTATGCTCTGTTTTGTCCCATTGTTTAGATGGAATTTATAATTCTCCCACTGTTAAGTTCACTTCTAGCTAATTTTTGTTGATTTATGGGAAAAAAGCTCAGGTGTCATGTACTCTTAGCTTTGTAAAAAGTGATATTGTATTTTGAGAGTGTCGGGTTCGTTCGGTTTTCATTTGATTCAGTTCTGAAGATTTAAGTGTTCTGTTATGCTCGGTTTGGTTGTAGTTTTAGCAATTTCACTACTATTAAGTTCAGTTTTAAGATGATATTCCTTGATTTTTCTTCTTTGTTTTTATCTATTGCTGGATGGAACTGCATACTTTTCTGCCTATCATGCTCAATTCTAGCTATTTTTCGTTGATTTATGAGCTCATTTTTTGCTATTTTTGGGTGCTATTTCCCATATGATTTTTGTAGAAAATGATACATTTTGCTTTGATATTTTGCGAGTGTCCAAGTCCACAATATGTAGAGTGTCCTCTTCCTTTTATGGAGTTATGGTCTAATAGCCAAAGAGGAAAAAGAACATCAAGAAGGAAAAGCTCTATGTGGTATTGAGGATTCTCATCAAATTAAAAGTAAGTCATAAATTCAAGTTGTAATAGGAAATGTCTAACTATATAGTTATGGTGAGCCTCTGAGCATTGTGTAACTGATACATTGGTGCAGTGGATACTCTCTCCTAATAGAAAAGTTAACGAACAATTAATCATGAGGGAACTTCATGGCATTTGTAGCCTAACTTGAATAAGTTTCTTGGATTGGCTTGACCTAAATAGAAGGAAGCTCGAGCTACATTGCAAAAGCTTTTATCAGGTATGCCCTTGATTTTCATACATGTACTACCTGTGCTTAGATGGAGGTAGATCGTACGTATTTCAAAACCCTGAGAATAAAACTGGATATAGAGTATGTGAAATTTTATTCAGATGAATAAGTATAAAGGATAACCTTCGATATACAAGGTCATATTTTCAAATTGAATGACATGTACAATAGCCCTCTTAAACACTTTTTGAACACATATTAGGTGTTTAGCAAATATCAAAAAAGGAAAGAGACATTCTTTTTTAGACGGACTACAAGGGAATGTAAGACAAACAAATTGAAACGGAAGGAGGAAGTAATTTCTTTCATATTAATGAACCTGTTAGTATTGGGTATCAGGGGACAATATCTTTCCCAGTAATTGTTTTTAAGACATCCCCATAAATTGAATTGATTTTATGACACAATGGAAGCCACTACTTGTAGTTTGTTTAGATTGATAAATACTCCTTGGAAATCTCTGTGAATTGTATGATTTTAGTACTAACGTTCGCTAAAGATTCCAAAACCTTTTGAGATTACAACACCAAAAATCATTAGCCTATCTTGTTGCTTAGCTCATGAATTGGCAGAATTGCAGAAGGACTAAGTATCACTTGTTGTGAAAGATTCCAAATCTCCTATTAATTGTGAATAGAGGATACAGATTAGTAGGCATAGCTTTTGGGTGAAGTAGCTTATGGGCGGAATATATGCTGAATAGAAGGAAAATGATTAAATTTGAGGCTTGAGACACAAAGAGGAAGAGGTTGGGATATGATAGGCTTAGAAAAATTGATTTTTTTTAAAAAAGGCTCCCACACACGAATCCCAATGTAATTTTTAAATCAACTCCCAACCTTTAACCCCACCCGCGATTCTTCTGTTCAAAGGAAGCCTCCCTCCCTCTTTCTTTTCTGAAAATCTCCTTCCACCAAAGCCTCTTCGAGACACCCGCGGCTCAATCCCAAAAAGAGTCATCACCAGAAAGTCCCTCACGCACTCGCATGCGCCACCACTTCTTCTCAGTCTTCGACGTCACGTGAGGCACGCGCCGGCGCGTGAGTCGACAAAACTCAAAATTCCTTCTTTTTTGTCGTTCGATCCAGGCCACAAGGGATTTCACCTCCCACTCCTCTTTCGTTTAAAGCACTTTCGTCTCTTTTCTTCAATTTTAAGGGGAGAGATGGATAGCATAATCTTTTTCAAATTAGGGTAAGTCTTATGACTTAACTGATAACGAGCTAGCCTCTGATTCTAGGTTTAAATGGGTAGAGAGTGTTGCATGGTATGTGAGAAAAATGAATTTGAGTAGAGTAGCTCTACAGTGGCTATGCAGAAGATTCAATGAAGCTTCAGAAATCAAAGGAAAATTCTTCAAAACTTGGAGATGCAGAGATTTAACTACTCTTATTTATTTCTCTTTGAAGTACAATAAATATGGTAGATTTATGTGTGTTATTACTGTTAAAGGAGAGATGACCTCTTCTTCTCAGACTTCGACGTCACACGCGACACGCGCTGGTGTGTGAGTCGACAAAACTCAGAATCCCTTCTTTTTTTGTGGTTCAATCCAGGCCACAAGGGATTTCACCTCCCACTCCGCTTCCGTTTAAAGCACTTTCTTTTCTTTTCTTCAATTTTCAGGGGGGAAATGGACAACATAATCTTTTTCAAATTAGGGAGTAAGTCTTATGACTTAACTAATACCAAGCTAGCCTCAGATTCTAGGTTTGAATGGGTAGAGAGTGTTGGGCGGTATGTGAGAAAAATGAAGTTGAGTAGAGTAGCTCTACATTTCCTATGCAGAAGATTTAATGAAGCTTCAGAATTCAAAGGAAAATACTTCAAAACTTGGAGATGCAGAGATTTAACTATTATTTATTGCTCTTTGAAGTACAATAAATATGGTAGATTTATGTCTGTTATTATTGTTAAGGGAGAGCTGACCACTTCTTCTCAGACTTTGACGTCACGCGCTACACGCGTCGGCGCGTGAGTCGACAAAACTCAGAATTCCTTCTTTTTTGTGGTTCGCTCCACGCCACAAGGGATTTCACCTCCCACTTCACTTTCGTTTAAATTACTTTCGTCTCTTTTCTTCAATTTTCAGGGGAGAGGTGGATAGCATAATCTATTTCAAATTAGGGGGTAAGTCTTATGACTTAACTGATAACGAGCTAGCCTCTGATTCTAGGTTTAAATGAGCGGAGAGTGTTGCATGATATGTGAGAAAAAATGAAGTTGAGTAGAGTAGCTCTACAGTTGCCATGCAGAAGATTTAATGAAGCTTCATAAATCAAAGGAAAATCCTTCAAAACTTGGAGATGCAGAGATTTAACTACTCTTATTTATTGCTCTTTGAAGTACAATAAATATGGTAGATTTATTTATGTTATTACTGTTAAAGGAGAGATGACCTCTTCTTCTCAGACTTCGACGTCACACGCGACACGCGCTGGTGTGTGAGTCGACAAAACTCAGAATCCCTTCTTTTTTTGTGGTTCAATCCAGGCCACAAGGGATTTCACCTCCCACTCCGCTTCCGTTTAAAGCACTTTCTTTTCTTTTCTTCAATTTTCAGGGGGGAAATGGACAACATAATTTTTTTCAAATTAGGGAGTAAGTCTTATGACTTAACTAATACCAAGCTAGCCTCAGATTCTAGGTTTGAATGGGTAGAGAGTGTTGGGCGGTATGTGAGAAAAATGAAGTTGAGTAGAGTAGCTCTACATTTCCTATGCAGAAGATTTAATGAAGCTTCAGAATTCAAAGGAAAATACTTCAAAACTTGGAGATGCAAAGATTTAACTATTATTTATTGCTCTTTGAAGTACAATAAATATGGTAGATTTATGTCTGTTATTATTGTTAAGGGAGAGCTGACCACTTCTTCTCAGACTTCGACGTCACGCGCTACACGCGTCGGCGCGTGAGTCGACAAAACTCAGAATTCCTTCTTTTTTGTGGTTCGCTCCACGCCACAAGGGATTTCACCTCCCACTTCACTTTCGTTTAAATTACTTTCTTTTCTTTTCTTCAATTTTCAGGGGAGAGGTGGATAACAAAATCTATTTCAAATTAGGGGGTAAGTCTTATGACTTAACTGATAACGAGCTAGCTCTGATTCTAGGTTTGAATGAGCGGAGAGTGTTGCGTGATATGTGAGAAAAAATGAAGTTGAGTAGAGTAGCTCTACAGTTGCTATGCAGAAGATTTAATGAAGCTTCATAAATCAAAGGAAAATCCTTCAAAACTTGGAGATGCAAAGATTTAACTACTCTTATTTATTGCTCTTTCAAGTACAATAAATATGGTAGATTTATGTCTGTTATTACTGTAAAAGGAGAGATGACCCCTTCTTCTAAGACTTCGACGTCACGCGCGGACAACTTTCGCGCGTGAGTCGACAAAACTCAGAGTTCCTTTTTTTTTGGTTCGATCCAGACCACAAGGGATTTCACCTCTCATTTCACTTTCGTTTAAAGTACTTTCTTTTCTTTTCTTCAATTTTTAGGGGAGAGATGGATAACAAAATCTTTTTCAAATTATGGGGTAATTCTTAAGACTTAAATGATAACGAGCTAGCTCTGATTCTAGGTTTGAATGGGTGGAGGGTGTTGCACGGTATGTGAGAAAAATGAAGTTGAGTAGAGTAGCTCTACAATGGCTATGCAGAAGATTTAATGAAGCTTCAGAAATTAAAGGAAAATCCTTCAAAACTTGGAGATGCAGAGATTTAACTACTCTTATTTATTGCTCTTTGAAGTACAACAAATATGGTAGATTTATGTCTGTTATTACTGTTAAAGGAGAGATGACCTCTTCTTCTCAGACTTTGACGTCACACGCGACACGCGCTGGTGCGTGAGTTGACAAAACTCAGAATCCCTTCTTTTTTTGTGGTTCAATCCAGGCCACAAGGGATTTCACCTCCCACTCCGCTTTCGTTTAAAGCACTTTCTTTTCTTTTCTTCAATTTTCAGGGGGGAAATGGACAACATAATCTTTTTCAAATTAGGGGGTAAGTCTTATGACTTAACTAATACCAAGCTAGCCTCAAATTCTAGGTCTGAATGGGTGGAGAGTGTTGGGCGGTATGTGAGAAAAATGAAGTTGAGTAGAGTAGCTCTACATTTCTTATGCAGAAGATTTAGTGAAGCTTCAGAATTCAAA